GAGAGAGAGAGAGAAGGAAGGAAAGAAGGAAGGAAAGAAGGAAGGAAAGAAGGAAGGAAGGAAGGAAGGAAGGAAGGAAGGAAGGAAGGAAGGAAGGAAGAAAGGAAGAGACCCTGCAGAGGAGACAATGGCAAGACCTGCCAACTGTGGAGGAGCTGGGCTGCCGGCTGCATGCTGCTTTAGTTTACAGTGGGGAGGCAGCCCAGTGTACTCCACCCCAGTTTTGGGAGACACTTGTAGTTATTTGCTTAGCTATTAACATCTATGACTTAACAGGCACCAATTGCAGTTAAATAGCTGCGGGCCTGGTGGTTGCCTGGAGGGGGTGGTGGGCAGAGTTGAGGCAGCCTGGGGAGGGCACCGGGCTGGAAAGTCTGCCCCTATGATCTCCGTCCCGGCTGGCCAGTGGGCAGGATGGGCCAGCGGGGGTGACCCCTGGTGGGGCAATGGTGAGAAGCCTCCATCCCGTCTGGGAAGGGAATCTCCCAGATCATGAAGCCCTTCGTGAGCATCGGTCCCACCCGCCTTTCCTGCAGAGCCTTGGCCCACCGGGGCCTCAGCACTAATGGAGGAAACATGGGCTTTATGTTGGGCTCACCAGGCTAGGTTTTGGGGTGGGGGGCTCCTCTCTTCCTACCCCCACCCAGGCGCCAGGCCTGGCTGCTCCGCCGCTGACTTGGATCCCAGATGCCAATGAAGCAAGGCTGTCACTATTTACAGCTGGAAGGGCAACAAAACTGGCCCGCTGAGGCAGCCGGCAGTGCTGGGTTGGTGGGGACCCGCCTGCCAAGGCCCTTACTTTCCCCCATTCCTGGGGACTACTCTATGCTTCCCATAATTCTAGCATCTCAAAATCCTTCAATCCTTGACTTTTCTAACTCATTTCTTCGATCAACAAATATGTATTGAGTGGCACTGTCTGCAGGATTGGTCGCCACAGGCGGCAGGCAGGGAAGACAGGAGCCTTGTGGGGGTGAAAGATGAAGACAGCAGGAGATGGAGCATTGTGCAGTACAAACAGCACGCGCAAGGGCCCTGCGGCAGGGCAGGGGCGGCCCCGGGGAGCCTGCTTCAGATTCTTCGAGTTGAGGGGAAGCAAAGGATGTAGCCAGTGGGCGCTGGGGTCCGATGCTGGCTCAGAAAAGCCAGCCCTAGGCCTTGGGAAGCCCAGAGCCCAGGGGCCCTTGCTGTAGTCCAGGCAAAAAATTTGTGCCCAGCTTCCAGCTGGCCAGCCAGACTCAGTTGCTGCCAGTTTGAGAACATGGTGTATCAGAAACAGGCATCTGGGGCAACAAAGAGATGGGGCGTGGTGGGGTGCTGTGCACTCACCCATTGGAGCCCCTCTCAAGAAGGGGCCTATAGCCAGGCATTGTGGCACACAGCTGTCACCCTAGCCACGGGGGAGGCAGAGACGGGAAAATCCTAAGTTTGAGCCCAGCCTGGGCACTTAGCAAAACCCTGTCTGAAAATAAAAAAATTGAAAAAAGGGCTGAGAATAATATAGCTCCGTACAAGGCTCTGGGTTCCATCCCCAGTACTGCAAAGAAAGAACAAATCAAGAAGCGCTTCTGTCTAGAGCCAGATCCCCTTTCTTTTATTTAATTTGTTTGGTCTAGGGTTTCACTACACACCTCGGACTCATAGTGATCCTCCTGTCTCAGCCTCCCCATCGCTGGGATTATAGGCATGCACCACCATTCCCGGTTTTGGTGGCCGGCTCTGCGCAGGGCTGGCATAGCATGTAGTACTGGGGATTGAACCCTGGTCCTTGCGCTTGCCAAGCAGGCGCTTAGACCGCTGAGCTCTCTCCATAGCACAAGATTCCCTTTCAGGGTGAGCATGAATCATCCAAGCCACAAGGGTAAACTGAGGACTGGTGGGCATGGGGCCAGGTCAGACTTACCCCAACCACCTATCTGCGGTTCCTGTGGCAGCCTCCTTACAGGTCCTGGCTGGGTCCCCAGGTCCTGAGGTGGGCGCTGGGCACTGGTACCACTGCTGTGAGCTTCGAGGTTTTCATCGCATTGGGGTTGGGAAGGAGTAAAGATGACTATAAATGAGGAGCCTGCCTAGCCAGGGCAAGGTCCTGAATTTGATCCCTGGTAGTGTAAATTAGGAGCCTGTGGTAGCTGGCACGTGGACCACGCCCAAGGGCCCAGAGGATGCCAGGCCAGCGGACCCGGGTCCTAGCCTGCCCTCCTGGGACCCCCCTGGCTGTTCTGATGGTGTTCCTTGTCTCTGCAGCCCTTGGTGCCCACATCCAAGGTCTCACTGGAGACTGAGGCTCTGAGAAGCTGACCCTGAGACCCACCTGGCTGGGAAATGTCCCCTGAGCCCTAGGGTTGCACGGCCCCTGAGAACCCAGACTGCCCCCATCCTTTTTTTTTTTTTTTTTTTTTTTTCTTTTTTTTTTTTCCCACGGAACCGGGGGTTGAACTCAGGCCCTTGCACTTGCCAGGGAAGCACTTATTCCACTGAGCCATCTCCCTGGCCCCTTGCCCCCATCTTGGAAACACGCCTACACCGCTGGCCTTTGGCGATGGGGCTGAGGTGAGCTCCCCGTCCCCGGGCTAATGCAGGGGTGTCTGCTCACTCTGCCTCCCCGTCTTGAATTCTGTGACTGGATATCAGCTGTAGGGCTGAACATCTTGGCACTGAATCCCCTGACTGATGGGGAAACTGAGGCATGAACAATCAGGATTCCTGTCTGCCTTATCCCAGTCCCCTTTGGGAGACCTCAGAACTTGAAACCCAGCCTGGAGTGGAGTCTAGCCTCAGTTTCCCCAGCTGTGCAGGAGGAGGAACTGAGGGTAGCCCTCCCTGTCTGTGGCTTTTATGTGCTAATGAGCCCCTCACAGGGCCCCCCTCATGCCCCCCTCGGCCCGGCTGCGTTTTCATGACCAGGACCCGGGGGACGGAGGCGGGGAGATCTGAGCGGCTCCTGTGCTGTAGCCGCAGGCAGTGGTGGAACAGGAGCCGCAGACCCAACCCTCCGCTGACCTCCATCCTCCCCAGAGGAAGGTGCACAGGCTGCAGGGCGACAGGGGCAACCTCCAGGGCAGAGGATGGGCTAGAGGCCAAGGTGTCAGCAACCAGGGAGCCCGGTGGGTGGCCAGGAGGCTGGGAAGGAGCTGCCCGTAGTTTCACGGGCTCAGGGCGGTTGATTGGGTCTCAGGACTTGAGAGAGGCTCAGAGGGGGTGAGAGATATTTTAGAGTCACACAGCACTGAAGGTGAGGGCTGGGGTTAGTGCCTGTGATGTAATACTGGGGGTGGAAGAGGGCCCTGAGTCCTGGAAGAGAAACTGAGGCTGGAGCAGGGCCCCGGTGTTAGCCAGGCAGCTATTCAGGGTGGCTTGAGGGAGGCCCGGAGTCAGGGCCTCAGCCTGGGACACAGTGGGTGCCAGTGTCTGCCCAGGATGCCCCAACCCTCTCCATGGTGTTGGGTATGTGGTCAGTTCTGCCCTCTCCAGGACACTGAGGCCCAGGTGGGAAGGAAGAGTGGTTGGTCAGACAGGCAGGTGTTGACACCAGGCAGCGTACTGTGAGCTGGGAGTCCCATGTGGGGCCTGTCCCAGTGCACTGTCCAGCCCACAAGCATCCCCTTGTCCCCTAGCAATCCCGTCTCCCTGTCCCCTCCCTGGGCTGGCCCAGCCTTGTACTGACCCATCCCTCATCCCTTTGCCACTTTCCCCCCTGGCCCCCACCCCTGTGCCAGCTGTCCCATTTCCAAGTTAACCCATCGCCTGCCTGTCTTCGGTCCCCACGCCGGCCTGTGTCCTGTCCCTGTCCTCTGCCGGCTGCTGACCACTTCGCTGGCAGGTTCCATGTGGGTGCGCCGGGTGATGGTGGAGGCTACACAGTGGAAGTGAGCATCAACGACTACCTGGACATCTACTGCCCACACTACGGGGCGCCGCTGCCACCCGCCGAGCGCATGGAGCACTATGTCCTCTACATGGTCAATGGCGAGGGTCACGCATCCTGTGACCACAGGCAGCGCGGCTTCAAGCGCTGGGAGTGCAACCGGCCGGCCGCGCCTGGGGGGCCACTCAAGTTCTCAGAGAAATTCCAGCTCTTCACGCCCTTCTCGCTGGGCTTCGAGTTCCGCCCGGGTCATGAGTACTACTACATCTGTGAGTGGCTGTGGGGACGTGGGGTCCCCCACCCCGCCCCTTCTGCATATCATGAAACAGGCTCAGAGCAGGATGGAGGCCATGCACCCCTGCTGACCCCAGCCTCGTCCTTCGTGGGGACGCTGTAGCTTCACCCTGTGCTGGCTGGAGAAGGCCACGGCCCGGCTGACATTGGGGTGACCTTCCTCATGAAGTGCCCTTAGCAGGGCACTGAGGGGCACACCTGTCACCACAGCTACTAGAGAGGCTCAGGCAGGAGGATCACAAACAAGTTTGAGTGCAGCTTGGACAACTTAGAAACTTACCATGAAAAAAAAAAAAAAGAAATTTACCATGAGAACTTGTCTCAAAATAAAAAAATTAAGGGGCCTGCCCCTTAGCTCAGTTCTTTAAGTGGTTGCTTCAACAAAGCAGTCAGGCTCAGGTTGCTGTGGTTTGATCCCCACAACTCAAGCCAGCCAAACCTGCCCTGAAGGCATTCGGAGCAAAAAAAAAACACCAAAAAAACCCCTTCTGCCTTTAAGGGGCCAGGGAAGTGGCTCAGTAGAATAAGCGCTTGCCTGGCAAGCACAAGGGCCTGAGTTCAACCCCTGGTTCCAAAATAAATAAATAAATAAATAAATAAATAAATAAATAAATAAAAGGGCTGGGGATATAGCTCGGTGCTACAAAATCAGTAAAGAGAATAAAAAGAAAATGTTCCATGGTATAGCTGATGGTGAGTTCTTTCCTTGCACCAAAAAACCACAAAAAAACAGAGACAGAGACCTAGGACAGGTGACACCTGCAGACCTGCAGCAGTCTTCCAGGTGTCGCCTGCCTGAGATGGGGATGTTGGCCTCCAGGCCTTTACGGGGACAGATCCCCGTGGGGTGGCCGTCCCCTTTCTGCGCCATCTTGGAGTGCCCCCTGTGTGCGGAGGAGCCCCACCCCAGCTCCCAGGAAGGCAGATTAAACTTTATAAGGCCTCATTTCCTCATCTGTGCTCTCTGAATTTTTCCCCCTTTTAAATTAGAGAAGCAGGTGGGGGAAGGGAGAGGTGTTTAAATTAAGTCCCGTAATATGAGAAAAATTACATTTTTCTTTCTAAGACAGGTGGTTTCATAAAGATAATTATTGCAATTATTCGTCCTATCTCTGTGATGAATGTTATTTTTATTATGTGCTTTTTATCTTCATCTTCTAGCAGGAGGGACTCTTTAGGGGGTGGAGGTGGCTACCAGGCCTGTGTGGACCTGTGCCTGTCACTCCTGACTGAGGCCAAGTTTGAACCCAGGGTCTTCACACTGAGCTGCATCCACAGACCTTTTATTTAGGGACAGGGTCTTAGATCCTTTTTTTTTTTTTTTTTTTTTTTTTTTTGTGGAACCCGGGATTGAACTCAGGGCCCTTGTGCTTGCCAGGGAAGCGCTTATTCCACTGAGCCATCTCCCCGGCCCCCCTAGGGTCTTAGATCCTAAGTTGCTCAAGCTGGGCTTGAACTTGCAATCCTCCTGCCTCAGCCTCCCAGAGTACTGAGATGTACCCCTGTGCTTGGCTTGTGTTCCTTACTTTTGAGCCCCAATGTGGTGTGGGGCCCAGCAGGACAAAGAAATAGGCTGCTTCAACTTTGGGGTTAGGGCTGGGCAGAGGCGGGTACAGGAGTGGACAGCATTCTGTCTGGGTGTCCTGGGTGGGTTTCCATATGGGGAATTGGGGTGTGTGGAGCAAAACCCCCTTCCCACTCACTCCTTCCTTCTGTTCCAGCCGCCACGCCTCCTAATGCTGTGGACTGGCCCTGCCTGCGGCTGAAGGTGTACGTGCGGCCGACCAGTAAGTGCTGGGGGGGTCAGGCAGGATCCCTTACCCCAAGAAGCCTAACAAGCCGGGGTGCATCAGGAGAGCCCCCCAAGCTTTGGTTTTCCTGACAATCGCCCTGTCTTGTGTCCCCCCCAGATGAGACCCTGTACGAGGCCCCAGAGCCAATCTTCACCAGTAACAACTCCTGCAGCGGCCTGGGCAGCTGCCGCCTGTTCCTGAGCACCGTCTCTGTATTGTGGACCCTCCTGGGCTCCTAGTCCGGGCCCTGTGTGGACGCCAACTCGCGACCCCGCTGTGGCCGCCTCCGAGACCAAATAGAGATACTGCTCTCTCCCTGGAGCTGCTGCCCAGGCTGGGAGGGCTGAGCCCCGGCCTGGGGAGGGGACACTGGGCGGCCCCACGGCCCGACCCAGCCCACTCTGACCAGGAGGCCCCAGCCCCCTCTGGGTAATCTTGCGTGTTGGGATTTTTGTTTTAGTTTTTTTTTTTTTTTTTAAAGTGTCTTTTTCATGATTGGATCGGAAAGACTTGAGTTTTTTAATTTAATTTATTCCCTGCGGTTGCCAGTGACTTTGGAGAGGAGCTAATCAATGTCTCCTGGATCCCAGGGAGGGAAATCTGGGGACACTGGGGCCAGCCACTTTCTGCTCTGTGCCCCATCTTACAGGTCCTGGCTGGAGCCCACCAAGGACTCTCAGGTACCCTGGGACAGGTGTGTGGTGCAACCCCTCCTTATAGTCCAGGAGGCCAAATTCTCCTGCCTCAGCTCCCTTGTTCCTGGTGATTTGCTTCCAGCCATTGTGGGCTTACAGCCCCCCACATCTCAGCCTGTACAAACAGGCCCCCACCCAACCCCTCTGCCCACCTGAGAAGACATTATATTTCTGTAAATAGAGCCAGCAAGTATAATATACTGTGATTTATTTTTAATGTATTCCTGAGGATGGACTGGAAAGTTGTTTTTCTTTTTGTTTTTTTTTAAGCTCTTTGTCAGGGTCTTTTATTTTGGCGGGGGGATGGGAGGGTTACTTTTTAGAATAGAAGCAACACTTGGCAATAAGCTCATTTTGTCTGTCGGAATCCCCCTCCCTTCACTCTCTGACCTAATAATGTTTCTAAGAAAAAAAATGGACAGAACAAAAAGGGAGGGGGGACCACTACCAAAAACATCAACCCCCCCCCAAGACAACGTAATGAAGGAAACAACACATTTATACAGATTTCATATTTCTACCCGCCTTTCCTGACTGTGTTTTATATATATTATAATATAAATATATATTGTGTACGGCCGCCGGGGGATGCCCACGCCTGCTGTGGTAAGGGGCAGCGGGGGCTTTTGTAGGGACAGTGGGGCGGGCCGTGTGGCCACGCCTGGAGCTGGCACCGGGCCTCCCCCAACACAATCAACTTTGGATTCTGTATTTTTTTATAATAAAATGCATAAACTTCAAAGGTGTTTTGTATTTGGGGCCACTAGCTCAAGTCAAGAGAACAAAGGAAATGGGTGTGGGGTCACCCAGGATGATGGGGAGGCCACCAGGGCCCAAAGGAACCTAACTCAGGGCATGAAGGCATATTAGGCCTCCCGTCCCAGCTAGTTGGAAGGCTGAGGCAGAGTGATCTCTGGTTGGAGAGATCCCAGAATGATCTTACGTTGCCAGCCTGGGCAACTTCTCAAAAAGGAAAAACAGGGGCCGGGGAGGTGGCTCAGGGGAATAAGCGCTTCCCTGGCAAGTGCAAGGGCCTGAGTTCAATCCCCAGTTCTGAAAAAAAAAAAAAAAAAAAAAAGAGATCTGGGAATGTGATTTTGTGTGCACAGGTCCTGGCTTCCATCCCCATTACTGCAGAAAGAAACCAGAACCCACAGTCAGGACGAGACCTGTGGACCTCTGTCTGTCCCGGGGGGCTGGGCCTGGGAGTGAGCATTCCATCCGCTGTCAGCCCTGGGACACCTGGGGGTAGGGGGCAAGGGCTTGGTTGGCTGGGGTTCCCAGGCCTGCTCCAGGATTCCTGCTCTCTTGTCTGAGTTTAGGGAGAAGGAAGCTGTGCTTCTGAGCCCCAGTGGAGGCACAAAGAGGCTGGGGAGGGGGTGATTTGTCCTCAGCCAGCAGGTGACCGGGAAGAGGGGCCAGGGTCCTGCCCGAGTCCCTCCCTCAGCCCAGCACAATTAGCCGAGAGGGAACGCTCTCAGCCCATTAATTCAGCCGCGCCCGGCCTGCGACGGCGGCTGCCTCCTAATGAGGATAAGAGCTGCACAAAGAGCCCTGTGTGCACCCCTCCTGCCCCTGCTGGCTGCGGATGGATGGACAGACACACGGGGACAGACCCCACACTGCTAGGGCCAGAAGAGGCCTGGGGGTCCCCACTCTAAGGTGGACAATCCTCAGGCTCCTTGGGGCCCTATGCTCCAGCTGACCACAGAGCTGGAGGGGACCGAGGGTGACAGTAAGACGAGGGCCGGTAGCATCTGACGGATGGCATTGGATGCACAGCAGGTTTACTGAGACATAAGTCCCACGCTGCCTCCATCCCAGCACTGGCCTCTGGTTTCAGTGCTATCACCAACTTTGCAACTGTCTCACTGTCCAACCACAGAATAGTCCTTCACTCCCAAAAGAAGCTCAGCCGCGGATAGAGCTCAGTGGCCTGGCAAATGTGGCATGGGTTCCATTCCTGGTACAAAAAAAAAAAAAAAAAAAGATACAAAACACTATTTGAAGCCACACACGGTGGCACATGCCTGTAATCACAGCACTTGGAAGGCTGAGGCAGGAGGATCGTTGTAAGTTTGAGACCAGCTTGGGCTACAAAGTGAGTTCAAAGCCATCCTGAACTGCATAGCGAGATCCTGTCTCAAAAAGACAAGAAGGTATGTTTTTGGGGCCGGGGAGATGGCTCAGTGGAATAAGCGCTTCTCTGACAAGTGCAAGGGCCTGAGTTCAATCCCCGGTTCTGAAAAAAAAAAAAAAAAAAAAAAGACAAAAAAGAAGAAACACTTGAATGCAACCTAAAGGGAGCCCCTTAACCAGGCCTGGTAGTGCATACCTGTTATGCCAGCATCCTTGGAGACTTAGACAGGAGGATCAAAAGTTTGATTCCAGTCTGGGAGACTTAGCAACTTCGCAAGACACTGTCTGAAAATTAAAAGGAAAAGGGCTGGGAATGTAGACCTGGGCTTGATCTGCAGTACTGAGATTTAAAAAAAAACAAACAAAAACACCAAAACCTCCATGGCCAGGGAGATAGCTCAATGGCATAGCACCTGCCTGACAAGCACAAGGACCCAGGTTTGATCTCCAGTACTGCATGCTATACCAGCCACTTAAACCACGCGTGGTGGTTCATGCTTGTATCCCAGTGCTGGGGAGGCTGAGACAGGAGGATCACTGTGAGTCTGAACTGTGTAGTGAGACCCTATACCCAATTAAAAAAAAAAAAATATATATATATATATATACACACATATATGTAATAGATAAATGCTAGATAGATGCTAGGTAGATAGATAGATAGATAGATAGATAGATAGATAGATATAGATATAGATATAGATATAGATATAGATATAGATATAGATATAGATATAGATATAGATATAGATAGATAGTCACCCAGGCCCTCCTCCACCTCTATCCCACACCTATAAGTCTACTTTCTGTCTCTGGAGCCACCTCGCTCCTTTGATGGTTGAGTGACATCTTGGTGTGGCAAAGACTCACCGTCCCTGTGTGGCCTGGACCTTTCTACCTTTTGGCAATCGGGAACTGTATTATATCTTTATTGTCTTAGACAATTTCACACAAAAAGGTGATTCTGAATAGGACAATAGTCATGTTCCCAACTCAGGACCTTTGTGGGTGCCAGTCTCCTTGCCTGGTATACCCTTCCCCGGGGTCAGGTCACATGTCGCTTCCTGACCTCCCTGGATGAGTGGTCACTCAGGCATGCTCCCTCTGTGTGGTCCTGTTCCCTGTCTGTCTGTCCTAGCAGGGCAGGGTCTGTCCTGGTCTCTGGGATAGCGGCTGCCCCACCAGCGTGTCCCAGGGAAATGGCCCCAGCCACATTGCCACCCAGGTCCACATGACACAGCCACAGGGAACACAGGCCACACACCGGCCTCTTTGGCAGCCTCTAGACACCACCTGGGTGTCCACCACCAGGACCACACCCAGATGCCCCTCAGTGATCCGCGTCTCTGTCCTCGACTGTGTCTGTGACTCCAAGCCCTGAGCGCCTGTGGAACTTGAGTGGCTATGGGCCACTGCCATCGGTATGCGGGGCCTGTGTGGAGCCTTTTCCGGAGGTTCTAAAGGGAAGTAATTTCTCTCCCGCGGCCCATTACTGCTGCCTCAGAGCCCACAGTGGGCAGGGGGTTGGGGAGGCTGCAGGGGGCAGAGTCCTCAGGTCCCCAGGACTCTGGTGATAGTGGCTCTAGGGGTGGGGCTGGACTTGTTATTGGCTTCCAGGTCAGGGTTGTTTGAGCCCCATTCAGCTTTTTTTTTTCTCTTTTGGTATTGGGGAACCTAGGGCCTTCATGCTGAGCTACACCTCCAGTCCTTTTTAGTTTTTGGGATAGAGTCTCACTAAATGGCCCAGGGTGGTCTTGAATTTGGGATCCTCCTGCCTCAGCCTCTCAGAAGGCTTTGACCATATCCGTCTTCATCTGGGAGTGAGGGGACCTACCCCACAGCCCTGGAGTAAGGGGCTGACTACCCCTCCTTCTGTGGCTACAGACATGCCCCCCCCCCCGCTCTTCCCTTTAGGAGTGGGACTGTCACGGGGCTAGAAGGAGAAACCCCAGCTCAACCCCATTTCCTGCAGGGTAAAGCCAGTCTCAGGTGGTCAGCAGGCTGCTCACACCTTTCCTTCCTCAATTCCCAGGGGTGCCCTGCTCTGAATCTCTCCCCTGGTACCCAGCCTGGTGCCTGGACCCCAAGCTTCCTCCGGAGGACTCTGCCCCTAATCCCTAGGGAAAAGCTACAGAGTCAAACCTGCTTTGCCTTTCAGCTTGGTCCTCTCCCTTGTACATGTTTATTGCCTCAGGCATGCCACGTACTTTCCTATTTTATTTTGTTTCTTGTCTCCTCTGCTACTATACTCTCAGCTCCATGAAGTCAAGGGTTTGGATCTGTCTTGGTCTGTCTCAGTTGCTATTTTTTTTTTTTTTTTTTCCTTTTTGAGACAGGGTTACGCTATGCAGTTCAGGGTGGCCTTGAGCTTACTGTATAGACCAGGCTGGTCACAAACTCAAAACAATCCTCCTGCCTCAGCCTCCCCAATGCTGGGATTATCAGTGTGACTACTGGTCTGTAGCACCGACCACATGCCTGGTACACAATAGGCGCTGGATAAATGCTTAATGGACTGAATGGTGTGTGTGTGTGTGTGTGTGTGTGTGTGTGTAGAAGCTGCATGATCAGAAAAGAGGAGGAGGGGGGCTGGAGAGATGGCTCAGTGGTCTAAAGCACCTACTTAGAACAAGCTTAGCAAAAGCATCAGGGACCGTGGTTCAACCCCCCAGCACCACAGGC